CTCTTCTCAGGTCACCTATGCTCGCTTCAACTGCCTGTGAATTTGCTTCTTTCCCTTTAGTCTGATCAGCAGGTCCCAACTCAGCTGTGCCTATCTCTTGTCTTTGTTGCCCAATTTCTTGCCCTGGGAATTCCCAGCTTCTGTGCTCTATGGAAGACAGGAATGCATACAGAAACACACACTCCTCAGAAATTTCAAAATCCTCTAACTTTCTATCCCCTCCTACCTTTTCTTCACTTTTATTCTCATTTTAAATGTGGCTGTGCTTGGAGAGCAGACGTGCACACAAGAAAGATGTTGGGGGTTGAATTTTCCCCTTTTCTTTCTGTGGATTTTTTTCCATTGTTATGCTAAGTATTTGTGGCTACACCTTAGCTCAGATAGCTAGCATAACAGTTTCTCTCCCAGGAGGGTGGAGAGAGGGGGAACACTGGAAAAAGAGAGGTGGGACAGGGGCCTGCTCTCTCTCTCTCTCTCTCGCTCGCTCTTGGAGTCGGAGGAAGACGGACGGTGCTGCTACCTACCACCCTTCCCGCCATCCCAATGCCAGGAGCCACGTTCCCTGCTGTCAGACATCGCTCTGCTGCTCTTCCACTTCATCCTGCTACCTCCGGGCACTCTGCCGAGCCCCACGACCGACCGACCCCGTGAGGGGGGAGTCTCTCCTCCATCCCTCTCAGCCCTGGGCCGCCGCCATCACTCCAGCCCTCTGCGACTGCGCGGGCCCTGCCCTGCCCCCAGCACCGGGAACTGAGCGCAGGGAGAGGGAGCCTGTGGCCAAAAGGGACTGGAACTGAGTACACTGCTCTGTTCTGCTGTCAATTTTTATAGCTGTTGTTGTTTCTGCTGTTTGGCTTGTTAGATATTTTAGTAAAGCACTGTTATTCCTACCTCCCATATCTTTTGCCTGAAAGCCCCTTATTTAAAATTATAATAATTGGAATGGAGGGAGTTGCACTCTTCATCTCAGGGAAGGGGCTCTTGCCTTTTCTTAGCAAATACCTGTCTTTCTTTTTTTTTTGAAGGAGTACAGGATGCCCTCAGTCTGCTGAACACAGCTCCAGAGACTATCTGCTAGAGAGGACGTCACACTCTACTTTCCTTGCATCATCACCTCTTACACCTATAATCTGGAATTCAAGTTACTGACTCAGTCTGAAAGCATTTTATTCAACACAAACTCTGAATTGCTTACCTTACAGAAAGAAAAGGAGTGGCCTGTATGCAAGAACCAAGTAGCATTGAGCTCCTACTCTACTCCCCTCTCCTCCCCTCCCAAGGTCCCTTCTTTACCAATGCCACCTATACTCTCACCATTCTTCTCATCAGAGCCTGTCAGAATTCATGAGCAGGCTGCTGTTTATTAACCTCTATGGTTTCTGCCAGAGACAGGCAAGAGGAACCTACTTGCAGCACTCTGATGCAATCAGGAAAGGGAAGAGACAGAGCTCATAGCTGAGGGGTGCAATATGTACACCATGTTGAGAAAGGTTGGGGAAATGATGCATGGAGGTGAAGGAAAGAGCAAAGCTGCATGCATCAGCACCATCTACTCAGTCTTTCTGCAGAGAAAAAAGGCAAAAGCAGTGGGGATTTGCCTCTCATACAAACCTAAAAGACACTTTTGAAGTTTAGATATTAGCAAGTGTTGATGGTCCATGATATCAGCTTCAATAGGGTTCTGCTTACCACAGTACTAGGTTATTTTTAAGAATACTAATTTTTTTTTGTTAAAGGTTTCATGAAAAAAGATTTCTAATTATGTTTCAAAATTACATTTTGAAATTTGTATCATGAATGATATATATATAAACTGTCACAAGTTTCTCAGAGGCAGACACTCATTTTGAGTGAGTGGGTGAGGGACTAAGTGAGTAACTAAAATGAGCATGACTAGGTCTGAAGTATGTTCTGAAAATCAATTCTACTACAGGCATTACTTACTGTCAACATACTTCTGCATTACCTCCATCCACTGAGAAAACTTTCTTAACATTCTCTAGCTTTTCTCCGGGATCTTTCTGATACCACATGCTTTCATACATCGGAAAAATCAAGCATTACAATATTCATTGAAATGTAGGAGATAATTGTTAAAGAGTTGCAAGCTCAATTTTCTGTCATAAAGTATCAGATTGATATACATAAATCATTATATTTCCCTGATATTAAAAGACTACAAAGACATTACAATTTTAAAGGTACTTTCAAGCTTTCTGAGAGACATATTTTTAAAATTGCACATAAGACACTATATTTTTAATGTGTTCACCCCCCCTCCTTCTTCTGAGTACTCATCTAATCTAGTTTAGATGGAAAAGATAGGTGCTATGACTCATAAGAACCAAATTTGGCAATGTCAACAGCCTCACTTTATATTTGTCTGTAAGGAGCCTGTACATAAAAGAGAGCGAGAGAAATTGCCAAAGCCATCATTGAATCTTTCCTATTGGAAAGGCTGTTAATCATAAAAAGGGCTGACACAGAGGAGGAAACTCGCCATAGCAAATTACTCCTCATAACAAATTGCTGTAAGGATTACACCATTTAATCATACATTTTAAGATGGAACTTTTTCTAATAATTAGTTATGGCAGTTGTAGGTTCTCTTTTATGCTATAATATGACCATCTAGAGAAAGAACACAATGCAAATGTGCAGTCTTGCTGGTTTACCTCCTCCATTATTTACAGTATATCTGTGTCTTGGTGTATTGTCCAGATAGGCCGTATTATAAAATTTTCTGCCTTCTTTAAGGCTCTATTTTCTGTCTGAATCTTGCCTGATATGACACACTTCATAGGGTCTTTTGCTAAACGTCTATTTCCCAACAAAATGTTACTGATTAATTTTTTTCCTGCCTCTTGCATTTCACTGTTGACAGGTGTTGACAATTGTTGACAACTCCAAATATTTAAAAATAATTAGAAGTATTATCAGCAAACAAGGACTCTCCATATTTTTAATTATTATCCCTATATGGTATGCTCTTAATTTATCTTTTTCGTTCAACATGTCTTTGAAGACAAAGAATAAGGTCTGATAAAGGTTGAACTGTAAAGCTGTGCTTCTTGACACCTGATTCATGAGTGTAAGCAGTGTTTGAAAACATTTCTAACTAACTTTTATGTTGAAAACCAGTTAGGTATTAAATCAACTAGTTTTTTAAGACCACTGTCTGTTCTATGATTACAGAAAAAATTGATAATGAACTCTACTTTGTGCATTTACAAGTAGAGTTGCATGTAATCTTGTGTGCTTTCATGTAAATTGGTTGTGTGCATAATACTGAGAATCTACGTATCTGATATTTAATTAATTCTCTGGAAATCGTCCAAAGAGCTCTAGGCAGAAAATTGTGATACCATTACACACTTTCATAGAGTAAATAAAATAGATTTCTGTAACTGATAGAACTATTGTATTTTTATAGTTTTTCAAACAAGCCCTTTTTTGACAAAACAAAAAAACATCAGGGAATATATTTTCAGTTTGCTTTTTTCCCCCACTTTGTTTCCCATCTCATGAAAATAATTTTTTGGGAGTGTATTAAAGCCATGGACTTTACCATTGACACAACATATTGAATTCTGGATGCTTTTGCAAGAAAGAATACAAACAAGCAGAACACTGAAGTTTCAGAAACAGGCAAACATGTCACTTCAAAATGGCAAGGAGTAATGCAAACCTAGAGAGTATTTAAATGTAGCTATTATTCAGGAAATTCCTGGCATTCAATGAGAGTCATAAATGTAAATCTCTGAAATGGATACATTAGAGTTTTAAGTAATAGTCCTGGTTTGAAAGATAGATGTCTGCTAGGAAAAAGCAGGGCCTTCCCTTGAAATGGAGAAAGTAAATCCTCTTTCTGAATTAGTATAATTTTGAAATTAAGGGCCTTTCAGGTCAAAGATATTGGGATAGGAATAACAGTTTTTTACTAGTATATATAACAAGACAAACTGTAATACAACAACTATGACATTAACAATAAAAATAACAGGAACTCAGTAACAGTCCTCTGGGCTGTGGGCACTTTCCCCTTTGGTGCAGCTACAATCACAGCTGGCAGTGAGTGCTGCAGGCTTCCAGTTGATAAGGCAGGTGCGATGATCCTGCACGGCTGCAGGGGCTCCGGGGTGATGGCGGCTGTGTCCCAGATAGGAAGGGATGGAGGAGAGGCTTTGCTCACGAAGGCTAGGGCTGATGATGCTCCAGCAGGATGCTTGGAAACAGCAAGCTGAAGTGGCAGGGCATCCTAGCAGGGCAGAGGTGCAGGGTCCAACAGCAGAAGAGGCAGATCTGGCTGGGCTATGGCAGTGGCAGCAGCGACCCTCCTCCTCTGAAGCCAAGAGGGAGCTAGAGACAGCAACTGCCCTCCACTCTCCTTTTACCTGCTTCTAATCTCGTGGTGTCTCTCCCTACCTCCTTCCAAAAAAACAGGGAGGTTCCCCTTCCCCCTATCTCAAGGACCTAGCCATCGGTGTTTCTCAGCATGTCAATGGGAAAATGTTTCACAGGCAAAGAGGAAAGGAAAAACCAATCCCCAACAGTAATCAAAGTGGCAATGAGGGCTGTTTATTTTGAAGCACCAACCTCCAGGCCTTTTACAAAGCAGATGTAATACATGCTTTCAGCATCAGGAAGCAGCCACTCATCCTTATAGAGAATATTCAGGGCTTCCAGGAAGGGGCAAGACTACCATGAGTGCATCCAGCATGTGTACTGTGCAGAAAGCTTTTTCTAGGAGTAGGACATCTATACAGGTGAGTCTCTGTACATCAGAGCAGCCTGGAAGAGAAATGAGCTATTGTCATAAGAAAAATCATGGTGACTCCCTCTATGAGCATTTTTGTCCTTTCACTAATCACTTGGTCAGGACAGACCTGTGATCTCTGGGGAAGAGAACAGAAGATTTTTCCAAAGCATTGCAGAAGACAGTGTGTAGTAACAACATGATTTTATGTCAGCTGAGAGACACAGTGCCTCTAAGAAGTTTACAGTGTGCAGAGGAAGAGGCTGCAATGGTCTGCAGTCTCAAAACATGGGGGTATCACAGATTTATATCAATTCAGTTAAGAAAAAATAAGCAGGTCACCTATAACTATGATAGAAGGTCACCTATAACTATGCATGATACTAGCTGGAACCCCTTCTGGCTTTCATCTGTAGGTAGACAGCCTAGATTCTCTTGGAAGCTATTTGACCTGAAGATAAATGTGAGAATAGTGAAAGAAAAATATATTAATTGGAATACCAAAAGACACCATTGTAGAGGAAAAACTGCTGAAGAAACATTATCTCAGACCACTAACAAGAAGTAATTTGAAAATCCTGAAGTAAATTTATTGGTGCTATAAATCACTTTAAAAAATATATTTGTGTATTGATAAGTGAAATGATACCTTGCCACATCCCATGATCTAATAAGTAACAGAACACTGGCAAAACAACCTTGGAGAAGTCCTGGGAAGGCGGACTGAGCTCTGGGAACATAGATAGAAAAAAGCAGTCTTGCAAATTGCTGGGAACAAACTGTGCCTGCTCAGAACCAGGGGTCAACCAGCAGACACCACAATTTGGGCATCAAACATCACCAGAGACCCCGAATGAGACCCCTGAGGACCAAATAAGGACTTCTGATAGGGATGGGACTATGAAAAACAGGGCAACGAATATACATCCAGCAAGCAAGGATACCTGATAAATACTTAAACAATATGTGTAACAAAAATCCTTACTTGCCTGTCTGTGGTTATGCAAGACTAGAAGAAAATGTTTCTTGTGTCCAGCAAGTTGTATTAAAGAATGTGTGCTTTCTAACACTTAAAACTGTATTAGAAAATTTCTATCCAGCTGAGTTCAGTATCAATATAAAATTATTTATTCTTTGAAACAAAGTAGCTTGTCTACCTTGCCTTTATAATAAAAGCAGACTCTATCTGGAAACTCAATTTTATAAAAGCACAATTGAAAGAGTAAGATTTATTGCTAATTCTTGTTGCCCCCCTGCTTAAAATAAGAAAGCAGAGAATGCAAAAAAATGCAGTGATTTTATTAGCAAATTTCATCCCAGAATTCTATTCCAAAAAGAATATAAATTTATGTGATATATTCCTAAATATATGTTCATGATTTAAAATAAAATGTGTAAGTTGTGTTTTTTCAGTAGCATTTTTTCATCCTCTTAATTACTTCATGTTCTTGGGCACAAGTAATTGATCCTGACAATGTCATAGCCTTTTCGTACCACAAGACTAAAACTAAGACAAACATGGAAAAATAATGCCAAACATTATGGGATTTCTCAGTCCCTTCAAGGCGTTTTGGCAAAAACTTACACAGAAATATAATAAATTATTTTGATTATCATAACCGTTTAGTGTAGGAATACAATGACAAGGAAAATACAGAATAGACTAGAAGAGACTAGAATAGAATAGAATAGAACAGAATAGAGTACAATACAATACAATACAATACCAGATAGTCCCTGGCTCTGTAACTGCACAGGTATACAGGAAGTGCCATTCCATGTCTCCACTGGAAGACATCTATGTGCAAAATTCCATTCAAAACCTGGTTTTAGGCATTTTTTTCAGGTTTCAAAATATTCCTTATCTTCAGATTGTAGACAGCACTTTTATGCTCAAGAAATCATACTTTTTCACAAAGTTTTCTTTAAATAATATAGCTCAATTAGTTTCATCCAGATCTAATGAAGACATTTGATATAGCAATTATGTAGACCTAAATAGCTAGATTTTTAAAGGTACCTATCTGAAAAGGCACTCAGCTGCATTTTAAAAAGCAGTCAAGCAGTCAAGTAGCAATCGTACATAAATATAAAACTAATCACTTTTTCTTAGAAAAGTTTACAAAAGGTATCTATAAATTCTTTGCAGAGCATATTTTGCAACAATCTGTAATTAATTAGTTTGCATATATATCATCAGGGGAAGAGTCATTTAAAGAGATTTAACTGAGGTTTTTAAAACTGATTACTCAAAAAGATTTTTGACGTATGCAAGGATAAGTATAGATATATTTTGACAAAGATGTCCTCAGCATAAATAATAGAGCCTAGAACATGATTTGGAGACCTAAAGAACTGAACAGTTTCAGGGTTTAAGAGCTTAATATGGTTTACAGGGGCAGCAGGCAGCATGCTCCTTGGTAAACTCCTATCAGAGCAGAAAAGTGTGGTTACTTCTTATTTCTTCATTTCTCAAAATCACCTGAGAGTCATTCCACAAGAACTTCATAAAGAATGAAAACAAACAACTTGAGATAGGTTAGAGAGTGGTGTTAGCAAATACCCAGGTTATGGGTTTGATACATGGACCTTTCACTTAAGAATTGGACCTTGATGATCCCTTTCCAACACAGAATATTCTGTGATATAGACAGACTGATAATGTGGAGGGAAAAGGAAATAGATGTGTTGCCTTTTGGTGTTATAAGTATCAGGAACCATATAATGACATTTTAGTTCAACTAGCTAAACAAGAAAAATAAAGAATATGCAGCGCTTCTAAGAGCCTTCCTCTAAATTACTGTTTCATTTTCTGATGAGAAGACCTTCTCAGATATCCTTGACACTCAAATAATTGTGTGAAGTAATTTCTGTGCTCTTCCAATTAATCTGTAAGGTCTGTTTTATGGAACTCAAAAAAAAAAAATTACTATTTTTGTTTTTCTCAAAGGTAAAACCCTAGTAAGCTCCATTATTTTTAACTGTAATTTAACTGTCTCAGGGTCTTCCACTGGCCCTCAAGTTCTTTCACCCTTTAGGTGTAAGACAAGAATGTTCCATATTCCTTTTGTAAGTGAAAAAGGTTCTACACTTCAACTCAGAATGGGAAAATATAACCCTAAGGTGCATCTTTCAAGAGCTGCTGTATACCATAATGATCACAGAACACCATAATATTTTAAAATTCTGTTTCCTGTCTTTGTCTCTAACCAATAAATTAGACAACAATTAGTAACAGTCAGGGACTCTAAAAAAATCTAAAAATGTCTGCCACTTTCCACATACAGATTTGAAGTTACATCACACTTCATGAAAGAAAGAATTACCTTATAGCTCTCTTGAAGCAATTTTTTGCATGTAAACTTAAAGTTTATTTATACTTTACTTGAATACTGAATAAATCTATGTAATTCAGTGATTAAATAACCGCCCCCCCCAAACCAAAGAAACAAACAAATATTCAAGGACTTCAGTAATTAATTTTGTTTCAAAATAAAGAACATTAATGCATCAAGGACATTTCTGTAGGACAATTTAACACAAGTGACTGTCTTTCTAGGAAATATTCTTCCTTGACTTTTGAATATAAAAATTTCCTCCATCATATGTCCCTGTGCTGCAAATAAGTTGCTTGGATGTGCCCATAGAAAATATATATCAAGGCAATTCATAGGATAGAAGCAGATTGATATATATTGGCAATGTGAGGATCTGGATCAGTCAAGCTCTGTCAGAGTCATAAACCTTTTTAAAAAGCTGTCACAGAAGCTTATTTACCTGCTCTATCCCTCAGCACCTTCAGCAAAATATGTTGTTCATATAATCTGAAACATTATTCCCATTAAAAGGCCTACATTTTTTCAAGGTGGTGACAGGTGATAGTTTCATAGCTCAGATGCTACTTAAATCAGTTTTACAGTTTCCAAATTAAAACTAATTGTGTGACACAAGACCTTGAATCTATTATCTCAGTTAATGAGCTGCTAAACTTGTTAATGAGTTAACTAATCACTGTTTTTACAGTGATTTTTTAATGTGATTTTATATGACTGAATACGATTGATACACTGTTACGACCTCAGCGATAATGAGTCTGCTTCTGAACAAAATCTGTTTGCTGCCCATGTTACTTCAACTGCAGATATATATCTGTACAAGGCTTTTTTACTACTCTGGCATTTTATTAATTCCCTTCAACACTGTGACAAATGTCAAAGAGCTCACCACCAATGTGGATTTCTCATTCTGTAGTCACACTAACACCCCTGAAATATTTGCTGTAGTATACAGAAACAAAACAAACAAGCCAATAAAAATAATCTTATAATGGATTCTAGCAACTAAAGGATTATCCTATCAGGATAGCGTTTAATTGAGGAACAATTCGACACAAGAGCAACAACATTTATGGCAGAGTCACTCTGTAGCATCACCCAAAGTCAGGGTCCTGTCTTCCAGGTTCACTGGCTTTGTAAGACACGGACTGCTCCATGACCTTCGGCTGTGGTCCGTCTAGATACAACCCCTTCCTCGTCTTTCCACCACTGGACCACAGCTGAAAAAGAAAAAAACCAAACAACTAGAGCTTCCAGGACCTACCACTTTCAAAACTATTCTTTTGCTTATTGTTGAGGAATACATCTGCTGCAGGTAGCTCGGTAGCACCGGAGGACCAGCTCGGGTTCTTTCTGTGGTGCTGGACCGTCAATAAACGAGGTATCTGAGACTGCTAGGGGAAACTCGGTGTGACTGTGTGAGTGAGGTGTGCGGGGAGAGCACCGGCGACACACCGGGTCACTGGAGCCGCCGCTGCGAAGGCGGCTTCGGTGTCAGCAGTGACAGCTCTGGCGTTGGGAAGTGGCTTCCAGGGAGTCTCATAAATGGTAACATTGGGAAGTTGGCTTAACATTTCTGCTTTCACTGAAGTTCAGTTACAAAATTTGCGTTCTTTTGTACATAGAATCAGGCTAAAACAGGGGACTGGTTAAAAAAAACCCGCCTTAACTTCGTTACATTCGAAGGAGCCCCTCACTCGCGCCCAAAAGCCACTGACCACCCACAGAAAAGGCGTAGTGCTCACGAAAGAGATGGAGCGACACGGAGAGGAGCGCAGGGGCTTCCGCTTCCGGCGGCCGCGCTGACAGCGCCGGGGCCTGGCCGTGCTGGGCGGCAGGCAGGGGGGCATGCGGCCGCCGGTGCTGCCGCAGCTCCTGGTGGGGCCGCTGATGGTGTCGCTGGTGCTGCTGGAGGCCGCTCGCTGCGGGGAGGCTGCAGCCCTGCGCCCCCGGGACGCGGCCACCACTTCCCCGCGCCCCACGGAGGCGGCCGGCGGGGCCGCCACGCGGAGCAGCAGCAGCAGCAGCAGCAGCAGTAGCAGCAGCAGCAGCAGCCGCCTAGCCGAGGTGTCGGCGCAGCCCGAGCAGGGTCAGCCCATGACCCAGCGCGCCCTGTCCGTGCTGGTGCTGGCCAGCGCCGCCCTCATCGTCTACTTCGTGATCCGGACCGTGCGGTGAGGGCGGGGAGCCGGCGTGCGGGCGCGGGGGACGCAGTTGCGCGGCCGGGGCTGCGGAGCGTGTCGGCCCTGCGGCTCCTGGGGGGCTGGCGAGTAGCGCCCGACTGCGCTGGGAAGCTCCCGGTGCCGCCTCTCCGGTATGGGCGGCGAGCAGCTCGATGGGCTCCGCTTACGTCACCGAGAATCGCACATCAATGTAGGGCCTTTTCCGACTCCCTCCCGAGCTCTCCGAATGAACTTGTTACTGTGGCATCCGTCAGCCCACCTAAGTTTATTTTGTATGTTCTTAGAGTGATTTTTGACCAATTTTGCAAACTTGTGTATCGCTAAACTACTGAAGTTGTCCTTTTCCCCGACTTTGCCAGGAAACGTCTTTCTTTTATGCTTTCTTTCACAGTAAGATTAACCTATTTAGTGTCTTTTTAAAGAAAGGGCCCTTATAAAGCTTTATCAATTTAGTTGCTGTTATGTTTCTCATGGAAACTATTCTCCACATAACTCGATGTGGTTTTGCGGTTAAGTACAGTGTTCGTCACTGTAATTTTTTGACCTGGTAGTTTTACTTTTCTCTCTCATGCTTTAATACCTTGAATTCTTCAGAGCAAGGCCCAAATGTATGATTATGCATAAAGCACCTTAATTATGGAGCAAGTTCTCCATGTACTTTGCATTACATTTAGATAAACCCATTGTGTCTAGTATCTGCAGCATTTAATTTAGAAAGGCAGTTGAAAGACTGTTTTGTGTATGTCACGTACTAAGATGTAGAGTCCAAGTAAAGTAGGGTATTTTGATTGTTCCATACGTCTTACAGATCACTCTTGAGAAGCCTTGAGGGCACTTCTCAGTGTTAGTATGTGTTGTAACACCAGCCTGTTGCATTTGGAGATGTAAGCAGTACTGTGGAAATGCCAATAAAATAAAATAAAAAAAAAAAAAAATAAATAAAGGTCTGTTATTGCAGGAGCTGGAGAGGAAAATTTTCATATATTGCCATTATTTTCTGGATGAGTGGTAATTACTTGACATTCTGGCGATAGGGTGTTGTTCTACATTTGCATCTGGAGTGCTGTCATCTAGGAGCTACTGTAAACTGGAAGCTTAACACTTGACATTACTTTGTAATTTTGCTGCATCTTGCTTCTGAAATTTGGAATAGGTAAAGTGTATGTTTTTGAGTTCGAACTTCTAGCTGAAAGATTTTTGCAGTAGTTATTTAAGAAATACAAGGATTAAGTGCAAACGACCCGTTTTTTGGACAGGTTTTCTTGGCATGAAGAGGTATCTTGTTATAAGACATAAAAACATTTTGCAAACTTTCTACCAGGTTGCCTGCCCAGTGAATGAAGGGAAGAAAGTGAGTGTAGTGTTTCTGGATTTTAGTAAGGCTTTTGATGTTGTTCTTCACAGTACCCTTTTGGACAAGCTCTCCAGCTGTGAGGTGAGCAGATTTGTGGTGCACTGGTAGAAGAGACAGCTGAATGACAGAGCTCATAGGGTTGTAGTAAGGAGGGGTGCATCCAGCTGGCACCCAGTCACCAGTGTTGCTCCTCAGGGCCTAGTTCTAGGGCCAGCTCTGCTCAATACTCTTACCAGGAGATGACTCTGCCATCCTCAGCTTTGCTGATGATGCCAAACTGGGAGGTGCAGTTGGCTCTCTCAAGGTGCAAGAGGCCTTGCAGAGGGATCTAGATGGAGCATTGGGCAATCACCAGTGGCAGGACATTTAGCAAAAACAAATGCTGGATGGTGCAGCTGGAACAGGGCAACACTTGACACTAGTTTTACTTGGGAGAGAAGTGACTGCAGAGCAGCCATGAAGAAAGGGATCTCAAGTTGACAGCAAGCTCAGTATGAGCCAACATGTGCCCTGGCAGCCAAGAGGGCAAATTTCACCCTTGGGTACATCTCACACAGCACAGCCAGACCGTCAAGAGAGGGGATTGTCCAACTATTCAGCATTGTCATGGCCTTCCTGTAAGTAACTGTGCAGTAAGAAACATACTGGCACTTGAATGCAACCAGACTGGGCAACCAAGCTAGTGAAAGAGCTGGAAGGCCTGTTCTCTGAGGACTCTGGGTTTGTCTGCTTTGGAGAAGATGATGCCTGAGTGGTGACCTCATTGCTGCCAGCAAGTCTCTGAGGGAGATGCTTATCCCTTCTTTCTGAGATCCAGCTATAGGGTGCATGGGAATGGTTTAAAGTTGTACCAAGAGAGGTATAAATTGGACATTAGGAAGCACATTTTTACTGGTAGGATGGTCAATGATCAGAACAGGCTTCTTAGAAAGGGGGTCAGTGTTTAAGAGGCATTTGGACAATACCCATGGTACCATGCTTTAAATTTTGGATTGATCAGGCAGTTGACTTGATAGTAGTTGTAGGTCCCTTCCAACTGAGCGGTTGTCAGTCACAGAGTAAAAGATCTTAAGTTATTTTTTTTGACTCTCAGGATGCTGTTTTAGAGTCATGGCAATGATCACATACATGCATGTTGTGTAAGCATCTCCAGTACTCCTGTAGCTGTAGTTATTTTGCTACTTCTTATATAGAGAAGGGTTTGAATCACAAGTGATTAGTGTATCCTTTTTCAACAGGATTTGCTTGAATCTGAATCTGTGCCAGCTTTGTGATGAGTTTTTTTTGCTTTATCTACAATCTAGGCATTTGCTGTGACTGTCTTCGGTTACTCTCAAATCACAGTAGCTACTCACATTCCATTTTAACCCATTAAAGGAAAAAGGTAAAATGTAAAGTGAGATTGACAAGAAGTACTGACTGTATGAGTAGCACCTACTGCCTCTTCTTAATTTCATATTTTTGTTGTGTTTAAAATAGTTTCTTATCTGCGAGGATATCCACAATGCTTGTCCTAGTCCCAATTGCTTAGCTTCTACTTCAGTGAAAATCAAGAGGCATCATGTGTAAGAAAGAACCCTATTTTTTATCACAATGTCATCTTAAAAATTTTAGAATTTTTTTTCTACTTAGTGTTTTGAAGTGTTCAACTTCTATGTTGAGGGGTAAAGAAAAGATGAAGTACATGAAGAATGTGGAAGGCACTTGGTCTTGAACTGAAAGGTTAAAATTCTGGTTTTGGTACTAGCCTTAGCTTTAATTGAAAAAGCTGGGTATTTTGTTCTAGGCTAAAGTACTTTAGTGCCTGAGGTAGCAGTTGCTGCATTTTCACATCTTAATTGAGAGTGGAGGAAATGGTCATGTTGATTATTTCTTATAACATTAGAAATTGGAGGGCTTTGAGGAAGGGTATATACTTTATCTCTTTCCCATTCTTACAAGGATATATTTGCTTCTCAGTTCCAAAAAGAGATATATTTTATGCATTGGAGTATAGTGAAAAGATAAACCAAGATTGAATGCTGTTGAGTGTTCTTTCAAGAAGGATATTTAAGGAAGTTGTGAAAGTATGCTAGAGTTTCAGGACAGGATTTGAAGCTGAGAATCTCAGTATTGTATTTGCTATCTCTTACAAGATAGTTAAAATGGTGCCTAAATGTGGGACAGAGAAAATGCTATGCACAGTATAAAATAGTGTAGTATATGTAATATGATAGCAATACTATAATATCATAATATATTAGTATTTTCTTTTATTAGCTCAGAAATATTCTGTGTTGAAGTTCCTGAATGTTATAAACATGTTTTATAGGCACCTAGCTTGTTTGCCAGTTACTGGAAGTGATTCTGTCAGCATTCTGTAAACAGATGCCTTTTGCACAGTATTTGGTGAGTGGCTACTGGTCGGAGTTCTGGGACTTGAGCAAGGCTTGTTCCATGGGTTAAGGAGAAGTTCTGGAAAGCCAAATGGAATGGTTCATTGTGTGGGTGATGCACATGGGACCCAGGCCCATGCAGCAAAGCTGTGGAGAGTGAGGAAAGCAGATGCAGACAGTTTGCTTGTCACAGGCACTGTGCCTTAATCCTGAAACATGAGTCACTGCCTCTTCCTTCCGTGCTTTGTGAAGCATACAAAACATTGACTCTACAAGATCTGTCTTATTCCAAAGTGTAACTATAGATGATTTTTTAAATTTGGTGTCTATAAAGTCTATCTATGTTCACAAAAGATAATAAAGTGTCAACCATGACTTGTGTTACAAGTTATAACTTTGCTATGGCTTTATTTGGTTTCTGCCTGATTTGATCCTCTGTTCTTTACAGATGCGTAAGACACATAAAGAATATATAGCTAGGCAATTATTTTCTGAGAAGGCTGTTAGAAGTATGCTTTTGCATATGTTTTTATGCAGCTCTTATATTTAGATGCTAAGTACCATTTTGTATTCACTACATTATTCAGTACATTAATCCTGTACAAAACTACAGATGACACTCTTATTGGTCTTAATCATTTCATGTAAACTATTGACACTTAGAATTATCTGACCTCCAAATTTCATAGAGCTAGGTGTGTACACTTATCATAAATTTTAAAAAACTTACACTGTGTATCAACATAGCAGTATTTTACATTATTGCATCAGAAAGTAGCAAAAACCTTGCATTACTTGAATGTTTTAAAACACTTTTCAGGCTCAGAAGGCAAAACAGAAAAACCCGAAGATACGGAGTTTTGGATACAAACATAGAGAACATGGAGCTGACTCCGTTAGAGCAAGATGATGATGATGATGATGATACAACACTATTCGATGCCAGCCATACTCGAAGGTTTGTATTTAGAACCTGAATGTACTTCTAGTAGTAGAAGTGAAGGAGTGTGGGTGATAAGCAGTTTCTCTGAGAAAGCTCACTACTGTGTTTCATGTGCATAGTTGGAGAAGGGATGTCAAGATCACTTGAATTTTAAATGGGCAAGAATTTAGTGGGCAAGAAGATAAACACCATTGGTCTTCAACATGTGAGTTCCAGAAAAATGGAGAGGAAGGTAGGATATTTTTGTTACAAATACAGTGTCATTGAAGCTAATGTTAAGTCAACAACTAGCTTTTACTTTTCTCTTTTCTTTTTTGTTCCTAATTTGAAGGCTTCTAGGTTTTTCCTGTATATTCTCATCTATGAGTTCTGCTTCAAGCAGCTTTGTTTCATTCTGCTTTCTTATTGCTAAAGTAGTCAGCAATTAGTTGATGATGACCCTCCACCAGGTTTTACATTTGGTACTGCTGCCCTGAAAGATTCATATTCTTAAGCTACTCTCTGAAACTCTGTAGATACAGGAAAATATTGTTCTATATCCTTATAGTGTTTACCTTTTGTTCTGTTTCATTAATGTCCTTAAACATGACCAATTGAAACTTAAATTCATTGAATTCACACTTAAGTTTTTTCCTTAATGAGTAATGCTATCACATTGCATGTGCAAAAATACAGTAAAAAAAATTGATGGGATTATCCTAGTCATAGTTCATAGTGAATGCTACTTGACTACTGTTAAGTATCAGAAGAGATCAGATGAATTTTTCCAGTTGCAGAAAGTAATTGATTCACACTGTTTAATGTGAAATCAGATTCAAATCTTAAGCAAAACAGTTTGATAAATTCAATACATGGTGTCTCAAATGAATTAAAAGTATTGGAGTAGTAAATCAGGTGTTCTACCATTTATTAGGAGGAACTTTGGATACCATTTTGGAATTTGAAGAGAAAGGTTCAGTCTACTTTAACTTTGTCTCCTTAATGGGAATCTTTCTGATATAAATTTTTTTCAGAAGTCAAAGCTTCTCTTGATTTTTTCTCCCCCATACACTAGATTAAAGTAGCTAGCATTTTTCTGTGTTTAAGAATTATGTGACATTTACCATTACTTTGTATTACTAGTCTTGTTCTAGTGTATATAAATATGTATGTAAAATGTAATAAGTAATTGTCACATTATATCCAAGAATTCCATCAATATCTTCCTTAAATCTTTCAGCTTCTGTTGTAATTCAGCATGCTTGTTAGACATTGAGGTGTTTGATGACCAGTTAACATGATATTCTTTATAAATGCTTATTCACAGGAGTATCAACTATGTTTTTTAATAGGAAGTAAATGATAATATAGCTAGTCATCATTAACAAACAGTATTACGCAATTATAACTTTCAGAGAGCATATTTCTTATTTTTCTTCATTTTGAGGGAGAAGAAAAGTTTGTTGAAGTATTTTATTGTAGAAGTATCTAAACTGTTGTTTCAATAGCGCTCTGAAAGTATGTGCATAGATTATTGAATTTATTTTGATACTGAGAACTCAGGAAAACAAAGACTTCAGTTATACTTAGTGAAGATGGTGAATTTTCTCTGTTTTGTATATTGATATCTTCCTGTATTCTCTTTTATGGGGAGAAGCTTTTAAAAATTTTAAGAACTACTTTTTATTTTTAAATAGTGTTTGGTGTAGGATGAAAGCAGTGCTGAACAATGTGAATTCAGTCCACAAATCTCCATAGAACAGCTTGATAAAATGATGTTCAAACTTTGCAAAGACATGTTGTTGCTGGGAGGATAGTTTAAAAACGAGAGTTCTTGAATTATTTTATTTTTTTAAATCTTGATTGGGAATGTACTTTTAAAATTAATTTATTACCCCTTGTTTTGACTTGTTTGCATCTGCACTGAAACTTTATAATCAGTTTTCATGTTACTGCTTAAGCACAATAACCAAAGGGAGTACAAAATGCCTAATTAAACAAAGACAACTTAATGTTGAGTACAACTTCATGCAAATGATACTCAAATATTCTTGGCACATATTATACTTTGTTCTGACATTTACAGTAATTCAGAGGTTTGGACAATGAGGGTTTCTTTAAGGTAGCTTAAATATATAGTCAGGCCTGGAGCCTGGGAACAAGGAAGAGAAGCTTTTTGTTTTTTGGGTTTAGTGCTTTGTTAAGTAAAGAAGAGTCACAGTTTTACTTAACTTAGACCCAAAAATTGAGCTTATTTAGTTTATTTAGCTTAAGTTTCTTTCCCTTGCAACTCATAAGAGAAGGCACTAAAAAACTCAGTGCAGTCACAGGAAATTCTTGCCTCCATGTTAATTTACATTTGTTTTTGACGTCAAAGTAGTCAAGTTTTGGTATATATATAACAGTATTATTTTATATATAAAAATACTTTTTTTTCCTAATTTCTTTGTGACCTGTTAAAAGACTGTAATGGCACCTGGTCTGCTTTCATTTTTCTTGCTTGAAACAATCAAGCTTTTTTTAAGGTGATACTACAAAATACTATACCTATATTAGAAATCCTTATAGACTTATTTTGGGTTAGCTGGTAACTGTATTAGACCCATTGCAGGACTAGGCAGAGAAACTGGTTTCTCTCCTAAAAATCACCATGATAGTGTTAGTATACTGGTGAGCAGATAGATTATTGCTGTCAAGGGTTGCTGTTTTCTTTCAGAGCTGTATGAAAAAAGATCCCCAGTGCCGTCAGCTGTAACATAGACACAATTTAAGTGTATTCCTGCTGTCGTCATTGCCCATGTCTCTAGTCTCTGTGCTGCTGCTGTTCGGGGCAGTTTACCAAAACTGTAGGTTTTAGCCATTTTGCTCAGTAGCTTACTATTAAATGCCCAAGTGTGAAGTTCTACATACATGCCAACTGAGGAACAGTATGCTAGTACCACATCTTTGTTTTTTAAAATCATGTCACACTAGTAGTTTACATTCCTCATTGAATGACTTCACACAGAAAGTGCTGCAAGGCACAAGGAGAAGAATTTACTCAATTTTTTTTTATAGTATTCCATAAATGGAATGCTACCAAGACTTGCCAAAGTTTCAGTAGGAACTCGGGAGCCTTGAAAGTTCAAAAATATATTAATCATCGTAAGTCCCTTTTTATTTTTTAAATGAGTTGTCTCTCTACTTGGAAAAGTTAAATGAATGCAGGTTTATCGTTCACAGTAATATGGTAGCTATGAGTTTTTCTAGTCAAATTTAATGATAAAATGTTGTGTCTCTCTGGGTTCTTTCATAATGTGCAATCTTTAAAAATGTAGGTTAAATTCTCCTTGAAACAGGGCATTTCAGATTAATGCATCTGTTTCTTCTATTTTAGAGAAGTACGTGCCTTTCAATGAAAGAACTTAATCTTAGAACCAGAGAAGGAGACTGCTTCATGGGAGAAATAAGAAGCAAGAGGGTATGCAAGTGGGGAGGAACTAATTTAATGTGTGTATTTTATGGCATCCTTAATATCTTGCAATAAGTAATGTATCAATTTGTTGCATCTTTTTGTATATAGAGATTCTCAATGTATAGCCTATGGGGAGAGAGTACTAACTGCACTAAAATAAAAACCTATTTGGAAGGGAGATTACTTGTAAAACAGGGTATTTTTTTGCTTGTTGCAAATCTTGTATGCCATTAAGTGTGGTATACGCTTTTTTTCTACAGTAACCTGGAATGTTGTTTTTTTCTTCTGATACTGAATTGTAAGTAAATATAGCCACTGTGGACTTATCAGAATTGTTAGAACTTGATTTTAATTGAGGAGATGATTTATTGTTTACCAATAAAAAGCCAAACTGCTGCCTTCTGTGTTGAGAATTTAAAAAACTGAATTAACATGTTTTGTGTAAACTTCAGTGAAAAAATGTGTTTACAGTGTTCCTAGTATTTAGTGTGATACTCCAACACTGTACATTTTAAGGATACTTGGGTAATTATGTAAAACATGGTATTGCCACATCTTCTTGGTGTTGAGACTCCTGATTGCAGCTGTTGAGTTAATTTTTTGTGGTCGTCTTTAACTTGTGTGAGCAGATGTGTCTCAGTGAAGGCCTGTAGTGAAGAAGAGATAAGCCTTTGGGAATATCCTAAATGTTCTGTAACTCTAAGATGAAACATTGACATCAGAAGCAGCCATTACTGCTAATTATGTACTACAGGATGTGCCACATACTGAAATACGTGGTAATACTTACATGAATGTAGTTGACATACAGCAGTTATGTTTAGTTTTTGGCTACTGTCATAAAAATATTAGAACAGTCTTTAAGACCTGGAAGATATATTTTTTTAATGTGTTGCTGTTTCCTCTTGATAACGTAATCTTGATAACGTAGCCAAAATGTTCAAATTCTAGTTTAGAATTAATGTGTATTTCTTTGGCTAATTCCATACATCCATATACCTCCATACGCGTCCATATACATCCATATACATCCATATATATCCAGGCATAAACTTGCTACAGCAGTATTGGTGGGGGTGAATATGTATCCTCAAAGTACCTAAGTTATGGGCTACAGAAAAAGAGGAATAATTTTTCCTAATTCTTCACCCTCTTAGTGTTTGAACAAAATTGGAATACTTTTCTTTGAGGTAATTTCTGCAGTGATAGGGTGGGGAGAGAGTCTGCTGTAGTTTTTCTTTACCAGCTGATTTCTTATATTGAAACCTTCTTACATGCTCTGGTAAGAGCCCAGATGAGATCAAATCAACCTCCTGAAGTAATTTTCACCTACATCTGCCCGTGTGCCACACGGAGCAAGGAAATAGACTGTATTTACAATAAATACTAGTCTTTATTTTCTTTCCTGTTGTACCTAACTTTTTCTGCTTATGTTTAAAGATAAAACTGAAATGAAAACATAGCACAGCTGCTTGGTTGAGGAATTTGGATACACAGTAAAGAATAACTGGGTTGTAAACTGCAGGTGAGAGAACAGTAAATGATAGACGGTAAAGTATGCTATTTCCATATACAAAGGAGACCATCAGTGTTTAACTAAACATAATTGAAATCTTTCAGAAATATAGATGACTGTCTTCCTGACATCCTAGAATTCAAACCTATAGAATCTTTCTAGGCTTTGAGCCACCCTGAGGAGGTGTTATACTTGTTATGCACAGATATTTGAATTTGTAAAAAAAAAGTTAAAATCACTGGAAATGCAATCAATCTTTAAGCTCTTGTATGTGCTGCAGGTAAACTTTGATGTTTTCCTGCAGAAAAAACAAAATGGAACAGGTAATTTATGTGTCCAAACAAATTTTCTGTTGGAAAAGAAAAAATCCACAAATTTTCTCATTTTGTAAAGGCATCTTTCATCCCTGCCTCAAAAAATATGAGGGTCTATTTACAGGAAAAGTGTCTGTAAAGCAATCATAGACCTGGTAGTAAATTGGAACAGTTTTGATTTCTGGTATGTCCAATACCACGTGGTTGATGGAGCAAGCTTCCTTGGCCTTACTCAGCTTGTGTCTGATTTCAGTAGCTGAATTGGTTCTCATTGCATTTGGAGACACAAAACTAGTCAAAAAATAATCATAGTTTTGTATATCTTGGTCTTAACAATTGGAAATTTCAGCTGTGAGTTTATGTACAGCACCTGTTGATAGGTGCAACACCATCAGTACTGTTTCCAACTACGTGTGAAAAGATGTTCTGAGAGCTGTTATAACATGCTTTCAAAAACTTGGGAAAGAATGTGCCACCACAGAGGCTGGTAACTGACCTGCGCATAAACAGAACTGAAGTTTATATCAAGCTTATTTATCACTTTAAAATTTCATTTAAAAAGCAAGACTAAAAAGATGAAGACAAATAATTATGAAATGTATAACTGAGTAGCTGCCTATGGAAAAATTGATCCCCATTTGAACTAAAATATTAAGAGGCCAGTAAAGAATGTGAGCTGATCTGCTGATGTAACACTCCTTGAAGATAGGAGATAGCCCAAGTTTAATGAGCAGTAAATTGGGAGAGAGGCTAGATTTTCTTCTATAACTTGAATTTCTGAAGGCAGAAAATGGAATGTGGGGAAAAATCTTGGAAGATTGAAAAAAGTTTAAAGGTACTCTTACAATTTTTACAGTATTAGAGCTATCACAGCATATCTATTACTGTTTGTTAGAGCTTTGTGAGTTTTTTCCTTCATTAGTGTAATTTGAGGCACAGCTTGTACAAGAATATGTAGTTCTTGGTCAAGTCTGAATGTATTAGTTAAGTGCATTGATAGGATAATGGAGCAGGCACCCTGTGATACCATGAATGGGTCCGAGCACGAGAAATCCATGTGACTGAAGAGGCAGAGAGCATTTTTATTTTTCATGTTGAGCAGTAAGAGCCAGGAACAATTTTTTAATACAAAAGCCAACTGAAAAACTTGGGTCTCAAAAGACTCAGTCTGAGTGGACTGCTTCATAGTTCTGTAACAGACTTCTGTTTGCTACAGGTGTTTTGTTTCATGGTACTACTGATGATGGTGTTCCAAACTGTTAACTGTTAAACCCCTGCAGAATTGATCCAACTTACTAGAGTGGTGTCCTCTGATGAGATTTTCGTGTGATTTTTCTGTGCACAATTACTCATCATTTCCAAGTGGCTTGCACTCTGTTTAGTTTCCATCTTGAAACATTCTTATCTTAAGAAACGATAAAACAACAAGATATATTCAAGGTATATCAGGATGGATGGATAAATTTAAGATTTTATTATGAGATGCAAAGAAGGTTCTTAAATAATAAAAACCTTTGCATGTAATTTCCTTCTTTCTTTAGTTGGGAAAGTATGAGCTTATGATCTTGACATAAGCCTTTTCAATGCTTACAGCAGTATGCTTTGTACTAAATGCAAACATTATATGTTTTCCTAAGTGATGTGGACATACAAAACAAATGCACATTAAGTAAATTTGCTGTCACAGCTAATCTAGGAGGAGCTGTGGACTCCCTCAAGGGTAGAGAGAGAGACCTTACAGAGATCTGAATAGACTATGGAGCAGCATGATCACCAGGCTTATGTAATAAAGTGCAAGTGCTGGATTCTCCAGCTGGAATGAGATAATAATAGATGCAAACTGGGGGACAAGAGGCTAAAGAACAGCTCTGGAGAAAGATATCTGGGGATTTAAGTTCATGGCAAGCTGAATATGAATCATCAGTGCCCTGGCAGCAGGTGGGCCACTTGTGTCCTGGGATACGTCTGGGCAAGGGAGGGGCTTGTCCCACTCTGCTCTGTTTTGAGCCCCACAATCTGAGGACAGGGAACTATTGCTTCGTTCACCTTGGAGAAGAGAAGGCAGTGGGCAAGAGGGGCAGCAGGGTGGAAGATGCTGATGTGTCTGATGACCAGTGAAAGGACAGAAGGGATGGGAATGAAATTGTATCAGGTGGAAATCAGATTGGACATACTGTGTAGTCTGAGTTCAAATGTTGTGCAAGAGTTCCTTTTGATACTTCTTTATATATCAACCTAGGTAATGGGCACTTTGTTTATCAGTTTTCTTCCCTGAGTTTCACCCTGTTTAATAGAAAAAAAGATTCATTCATATTAGGTTCAGAAAACTTGGTCCATAATTGCAGAAGATGAAACAGTACACATTCTCATCCAAGCATTTCATTGCTCGTGTTTTAAAGAAAAGTCAGTGTCAGTTCAACAGCTGACTGGATCATGCATTGTATTAAGAAGTACTCATTTTTAAGAAACAAATTCTTTATTCTTTCCACAGCTTTTTCTTAAAAAAAGAAAATAAATCCAGCAAAAAGCCTGTAGGTAAGGTAAATGGCATTTATGAGGAATCTTAATGAAACTTCTTCAAGAGATTATATTATTGAAAGGTGTATATGCCACATTTTGAACCTTGGGAGATTTCACAGGGAATACGTTTGCTGGTATTACTCCTTTTACGTGCCTTGGGCATTGTCCAGGAGGAGATGTGTTACTATGTGAATTTCTATTCAGACCAAATACAGTAATTTTTATTCTATCCCCTGATAGAATCTGAAGGCCCCTTATCTCTCTAAACAGAAAACACAAAGGTATAAAGATATACAAAGATATAAATTAAACCTGCTGAATCAAAGGAGACATATATATGTCAACATTTTTGTGATATTTCTGAAAGTTAGTAGTACACTTCCCAGTTGGAAGATTATTTGGATAGGTGGTGAGATGTAATTCGAAGTTTAACAATCCTTTCAATGAGATCTTTGATTTTACCTTTCCTAATATGGAATCTAAATCTTGTATTTAGTAATTTTACAACTGTTGCACTGAAGCTACAGTGAATGGTGTGATAATTGATAAAAGATTCGAGTTAATCACAAAAGCATTGGGGTTTGTATAAACCAGAATACTAAGGTCTGAAGTGAAGCATGGACGCCTAGATAAAGGAAAATACATGATTAAATCATTCTATTTTAAATCCAAATAAGTTATATCTACTACCAGCTTGCAAAATCAGACTTCCCGATAGTCTTTCCTGTCTTTGTCTGATCAGTGCTGCCTATCTCAATGACCAGACTTCCAGACCTCAGTGGTGTTATCTGCAAAGACCAGATGGTTATCTGTGAGATTGTCTATCACCCAGAGACTTTGTGAATTTAAATATGAATGTTTATTCGACCACCACTGCTTACCTGGCAAAATTATGACAGCAAAACCCCCAAAATTATTGATTACAACGAGAGACCATACTATAAGAAGAGGCTGTAAACCAGGGTTCGATGGAGCATGGAGTGGGCAGTGAACCCCTCACATTCCCCAGTGGTGCTTGATTCATCTATATCAAATAAAGCAGTCTAAATTTTGTTGAATATTGTTTCTCATT